CCACTTCAACCGTATCGTAACGTACCGTAGCATTTTCTTTTGTGTCGAAGTCATTAGTTCCACTCTAGTGGTCAGGAAACAAAGAAATACGCTACGCTTCGCTACGATACGGTTGAAGTGGAAAACCGGCTTAACACGTTGTTGTATGAATATATAATGTGAATATATAATGAGAGCTAGCAATGAGGCGTTAGCGATCAGCTGCTTCGAGCTTCTCAACCATGTTTCCCCACCCTTTGTCGTTGGTTTTGCTTTCCTCGCTGCTTGTTACGCTTCATGTTCCGTTCACTTGAGTTCTACACCCAGATCCAATTCGAGATCTTTTCCCGATGCGAATCACCTCTTGTTTCTCCTAGGACTATCCCTTTCTGCTTTGCTTATTTAGTGTAGGTTTCCCCCGCTTTCATACAGCTGACAAATCTCGATTGGGAATGAAGGAAGCACCACTGGTTGGCTATAAGGATTTCAGTAATCCTTATACTGATGATGGTGCTTGATTAGTTATGTGTATCTTTATATCGGTGACAGCGGGGAAACGTAGTTAAGAATAATAAATGTAATAGTCATTGTACCTCTAGTGCATATTGATTGATATCGTATGCAGTGTTAATTTATATTATCTTAAAAACTCATTAATAATTCATGACGAAATGAAGGTTTGGTTAATCAATGTTTGTAAAACAAATAAAGATTTAAGTTCTTTGTATAGAGAATAAAGATTTGTCCTGATTTACACAAACTTTACCTTCAATTTTCACGGTTAAAACAAACCATATCGGGAAAATAGTAAACTAGATTACTTTAAGTAATATAGAGCATCTCATCTTTATCTAATTTACTATCGGCTGTTCATAGTAAAAAATGAGTGGAAGTGCTTGTCGACTTCTCTCCCTCATCAGCAAGCAGCCAGTCAATCTGGGTCGATATTATTACAGTGAAGCTGACTGTTTAAGAGAAGAATCTTTTGTATGTCACGTAATACGCGCTCAAAACTAATGAATATGCTTTTGTTACTATATTCAATTTTTTACATTTTTGATACGTTTCTCAAGCAGCAAACCAACTTAAAAAGTATGTTTGATGCTTTATCTGTAAATGTATGCTAAAATAAAGAGATTTTAGTTGGTACGCAAAAGAGAAAATGATGCCTGAAGTTCAGTAAGTTTTGCTCATATTGCTGTATAAATATGGCGTCAATTTTACAGTATCAATGATAATTGTATTTAAATTGACAATTTTTTACTATTATTTTATGTTTCTCAACCGCCAGATATGTTTAAAAAGGTTCCTCACTCTAGAAACTAGAGAATAAAGCTAAAACAAAGTAAGTTTGAGAGGAACGCCAAAAATATTTTAGGTTTTGAACACTTTTCATTGCAAATACGTGACATTGAAGAAAATTGCCTCTTAATTGCTTATAATGTGAGGTCAAAACTCACTCACCGATATTGTCTTGTGTATGCGTCAGAATCCAAAGAGTTTCCACTAGTATCTGCAAGGCAGCATGTTACCAGCTATGGTTGTAACTTCTGCTATTTTTATGTGTATCTTGAAAAGCGTGTCCTGTTGTGAACAGTAGATTGTTCTGGAGTTGTCTTTGACGTCTCTTCCTGCAGGGGCCAGTTGTTCAAATGTTGATTAGCTTAACCCTAGATTAGTAAAAAATAACATTATTTAGAGCAATTATTGCAGAATTTTATTATTTTCTTTACAACTGCAGTGGCCAGCAGGGCCGCCGAGAGCAAATTTTTTTCGGGGGTCCCTATTGAAAATTTTCTCCACTCCCGTCGACAACTTTTTAGGGAAAAATTTTTCCGGACAAGAACGTTTTCGTTGCTTTCGTGGCACTTTCCCCAACCTTTTCCATACCAAATTTCGGTACTTTGCTCGAAAAACAGAAATATTTCACCCGAAAAATAGAAATATTTCGCACGAAAAAATGACTGGGGTCCCACAAACAAACGACTAGGTCCCCCCCAGGCTATGGGGGCCCGGGGCAATTCCCCCCCCCCCCCCC